AAACCTCTTATCTTGGAACATGATACGAAGTAAATGGTTTATTTATCATTTTTTCCACTTAATGACACATAAGCCCACTACCACAGATGATTTTTTAAAAATTCATAGCATAGTTCCCTAATTTGTGAATGAAAAGCTGTAGTAGAATCTCATTTAAGAAGAGTTTTCCTTCACTGTAGGGAGCAAGAGAGCTAATAAGAAAATAGAATTTTAGCAGGATTAGTTAATAAAGCAGCTAGTTCATTCCAGGTCAGTATACATCTGACAGATGATACTTGGAATTACCGATATGCAGTTTATTTCCTTAAGCATAAAAATGATGTATTGATTTAGAGTTTGGATTCTGGAATAGGAATGAAATTGGTCCAGATTATCGCCACAATTTTTTATTGTTTCTCTGATACACCACTCTTTTGAGTCTCGTTTTCTACAGTTATAAATGAGGGTATTAATAATCTCTCTTTCCTAGATGATATGAGTATTCAGTGAGATAATAGATAAAAGGCATTTAGGTTAAGATTTTGCACATAACTTTAAAGGACTTGAACAACTGAATTGAAAGAAAAAGGTATTTAAGGTCCGTGAAATGAGCAGAAAATGGGACATGGGGGCACAGGGCTGTGAGCATCCCTTTGAAGGGCAAGAGGGAGTGAGACAGACACAACTGCTTACTGCCCCAGAATAGAAGTTAAATAAAGAGCCTGTAGCCCAGCTTTTAAGCTAACATTGTGAGACCATCAGCTAGAAAATTCATTTAAACAGAACAATCAATTTCTTGAGTTTCTAATTAACTGAAATATACTATAAATGATTTTTTTACCATGCATTGCATTTTTTACATTCTTTTCCTAAGAGTACTGTTTTTTTGGAATGCTAATAATTGAACATAATTGCTGAATAAATATCCCTCCAAAGTTCTATTTTGAGTCTAGCCATTATTTTTCTAGTTAGAGCTACAAGTATAGGAAAATTTGCTTTCTTTACAAAGTTCATAGAATTTGTTTTTGTTCTTCACAGAGATTGATTTTTCTAGTCTCCCTAGTTTACACTTACTGTTACTGACATGGAACTGACTCATAACTGACTCTCCAGCAGGTTTTCAGAGGCTGTACATCACACAAAAGGACAATAGTCATCTTTCTTCTTTGGAGCAGCTGCTGAATTTGAACCATCTGCCTTTGGGTTGGCAGCACAATTCCTTACCCACTAGACCACTAGAGCTCCCTCTTTGTGGATATACAAATCTTAAATTTTTTGCTCCTGCTCATGTGTATATTTTTTTTTTTGTGGTAATGAAGTTAAAAGATTTTTTCTTTTTTTTTGGTAAGTGTACCAAAATCTCTGTGTGTGTGTGTGTGAGCTTATCTTTCAGTATGATGTCCCTCTTCGTAGTTTGACTTTGCCATACAAATGGATAGGAATATGTGAATGGGATGTATTAGCCAGTCCACAAGCAGATTGGCTAATCTCGCCATTAAATTGAACAGTCTAGCAACAGAAATATTAGACCTTCTCCTCCCTGGTGAAAAGAAGCAAGAAAGTGTAGGTTGCCCTATGAGACCAGATGTTTTTGCTCCACCTACACCTACTGTTAGATGGAGCCTCAGAATCCTTGCCTCCAAGGAGCCATCCAGTTTAACCCTTTCCAGGATGAATCTATTTATTTTCCTAGGAGTCCATGGTACTCTCAATACTCTTCCCCAGCACCATAGCTCAAAGGCATCAATTCTCCTTCTATCCTTCTTGGTCATTGTCCAACTCTCTGATGCATAACAAGTGATTGCAAAGACCATGGCCTGTATCAGACGCACCTTAGTCTTCAGAGAGACACCGTTGCTCTTCAGTACTTTGGAGAGGTCCCTAACAGCAGACTTTCCCATGGCAATGCACCTTTTAATTTCCTGGCTACTGGTGCCAAGAGTGTTGACTGTGGAGCCGAGCAAAATGAAGCTGTGAACAATCTCAATCTCTTCACCCTCCATCCTGATGCTACCGATTGGTCCAGTGGTGAGAATTTTTGTCTTCTTGACATTCCATACTGAAGGCTGCAGTCCTTGACCCTCTGCAGCAAATGCATGAGATCTTCCTCAGTTTCAGCAAGCAGGGTTGTGTCATCTGCATAACGCATACTGTTAATAGATCTTCCACCAATCTTGACCCCACATTTCTCCTCATAGATCCCAGCTTCCTGAATTATCTATACTACATACAGGTTGAAAATGTATGGAGAGAGGATGCATCCCTGGTGTATGCCCTTCTCAATTTTGAACCATGCAGTGTTCCCTTGCTCTGTTCTGACGACTGCCTCCTGGTACAAGTATACGTTTCGCATTAGAACAATCAAGCGTTCTGGGATTCCCATTCTTCTCAGAGTCAGCCACAGTTTGTTAAGATCCACACAGTCAAACGCCTTTGCATAGTCAATGAAACACAGGTAGACATTCCTCTGGTATTCTCTGCTTTCAGCTAACATCCATCAGCTACAATATCCCTAGTACTATGACCCCTTCTAAACTCAGCCTGGACTTCTGGCAGTTCTCTGCTGATGTGCTGTTCCAGTCGTTTCTGGATAATCTTCAGTAGAATCTTGCTTGCATGTGAAATCAATGAGATTGTTCTATAGTTTTCTCACTCTGTTGGGTTACCGTTCTTTGGGATGGGAACAAATATAGATCTCTTCCAGTCAGTTGGCCAAGTGGTCATTCTCCAGATTTCTTGCCACAACTTGGTGAGCACATCCAGGGCAGCATCTGTTAGCTGAAATGTGTCAATTGGTATATCATCTATTCCTGGAGCCTTATTTTTTGCCATTTCCTTCAAAGCAGCCTGAACTTCTTTCATCACCATAGGCTCTTATTCATATGTTGTTTCATGAAATTCTTTTGTGTCTGCCAATTCCTTTCGATACAGTGATTCAGTATGTTCTTTCCGTCTTGTTTTAATACTTCCTGGATCATTTAGCATTCTGCTGAAAGTATCCTTGATGATAGCATCTCGAGGTTTGAATTTGTTCTTCAGTTCCTTGAACTTAAGCAATTCTGAGCGAGTTCAGCCCTTTTGATTTTCTGACTCCAACTCCTTGCACATTTCATTGTAATGTTTTGCTTTTTCATCCTGTGCTGCCTTTTGAAATCTTCTATTCAACTCTTTAATATCTTGGATTCTTCTTGTGCTTTGGCTTCTCTGCGCTGCAGTGCAATTTTCAGAGTCTTCTGACATCCATTTTGGTCTTCGCTTCCTCTTCTGTCTTTGCAATGACTGTTTGCACTCTTCTTGGATGCTACCCTTTATAGCTAACATATTTTGGACATTTTGTGAGGAGAGACCGGTCCTTGGAGAAGGACATCATGCTTGGGAAGGTGGAGGACAGCGCAGGAGGAGAAGGCCCTCTATGAGGTGGATTGATTCGGTGACTGGGATAATCAGAATGGCAGTGTCAGAGACAGTGCAATTGGCACAGGACAGAGCAGAGTTTAGGGCTGCTGTACATAGGGTCGCTATGAGTCACAAGTGACTTGACAGCACATAACACCACCACCACCACCTACTATAGCAGCAGCCATAACTGAACTAGAAACCTGATGTGAAATGGACCTTGGGATTACTGTATCATTGGAACTGTAACTAAGAACCTTTGTCCCAGTTTGTTGGACATCTTTGAGTGAGCAGCCATAATTTGCAGGACTGAGAACTTTGTAACAGTGGTCTTAAGCCATGAGGTTCAAGGCTGAGCTTCATACATGCACTTTTCAGACGCTGTCCTAACTGTGTTCTGCTACTAATCTTGATTATAATCTTTTGACTTCCCCAACATTGTTCTGTGTGGTCTGTGAGCTATCATATTGGATTTTGGACCCAGCTGAGTAGTAAGATTGGTGCTGAGATGAGTAGGAGAAGGGTTAGGAGTGTGGGGAACATGTACGACCTCATGTTCGACCTTGTTTTTGTGGTATTGATGCTATTGACTGAAACTGTTCCCATTTGTGAAGTCAGTTAACATCAGATATGGCCATCTCCTCATGACCTTTGCATTTTTTACACTGTGGTACTTGTAAACTGTCTTAATTTCAAAACAAGAATATTAAAAGTAGTAGCTGTAAAGAATAGGAATTGATTTTTTCACCACTGGAGGCTAGAAATCTACATTAAATGTGTTGTTAATGCAAGACCCTCACTGTATGTGTCTCAAAGCTTTAAGAAACTGCCAACTATGCTTGTTTGACATTCCTGAGATTATGCATTTGTTTTCCTTTGTCTTCCCATGGTGTCCTACCCTGTGTGTATTTCTCTGGGTTTATTCTGATCTTATTTTAAGATACCACCCAGGAATGATTCATTTTAGGTCCCATTTTACTCCAGTATGAGCTCATTAACATAGAAAAGAAAACTGTTGAAAAGTAGGTTTGTACTTCATCCATAACACAAATGTAGGAAATGTACTAGACTATGTGTTCAGATTTGTTGTGTCATACACTACTATAGTGTGGACTAGTACGTTAGGCTAAAATTATTAGTATTTATGTACTTTCTGTTTGAAGAGATCTGACGTGCCAGATACTGTTCTAGTCAGATGCTTGCCTTTCATCTTATTGTAATTTGTAATCATGAAGGAGGTTAAGTCAGTGCTTATAGTCTTTCCTTGAAATGTACCTTAATTAACAACAGTTTGTAGTATAGATGTGATGTTGTTGTTAGGTGCCATCAAGTTGTCTATGACTCATAGCGACTCTGTGAATAACAAATATGAGCTTTCCCCTATCTTGCACCATAGTCATGTTCTCTGATATGCTCCAGCCCATCGTTATAGTTACTGTATTAATCCATCTTGTTGAGGGTCTTCCTCTTCTGTCTGTGACTCTCCACCTTTCTTAGCATGTGGATATGATAAGTTTATGTAAAAGATTTTGAAAAATGAAAACCAGCCAAATCCTACATAACAAGCCCAGTGTGGGTGTGTTTTGTTGTTGTTTTTCTTTACATCCCCTCCTCCCCTCTGCCAGAGCTGACTTTTTTGAAGATGAAGCAATTGAACAAGCTTTGAAGTATAAACCTTGGTGGACTGATACATATTCAAAAATGATGACTTCTTTGGGACCAACGCAGGAGCAAGAAAATCATGCTACATATGGTAAGAAACTTAAAATTAGGTTTACTTGTTTAATATCTCATAATTTACCAAGTTAATTTTCTTTTCTATTCAGTAAGCATTATAATCACCTCTAAAGCAAAAGCATGATTTTTTGCTTTGTTTGATTTGGAAATAGGATCTTCATTTATGTAAAAACAGTGAGGTGTCAGTATCTTACCTCTCTTTGTTCCATAAGGAAGAATAGTCTCTATCAACAACATCCATAATATAAAACTGATTCCTATGAGTATGGTATGTCCCTATGCTCCTTGTACTTGTAGAAATAAGTTGTGACACATATCATGCCTCCCAGGTCTCTCCCTGCTTTTTACTGCTGGGTAGGTTATTTGTTGCAATAAGCGTGCAGAATTCATAAGCAATAGTTATGCTTATGAGATTTATTAGAAAAGTTAACAGGTTATAATCAAGACTGGAAACAGGATCTAATTCTTCAGTCACAACAGCTTCTCAAGCATGTTCACAGGCCCTTTGTCCTTCAGCCTTTTAGCTTTAGGGCAGCATTACAATTGTCTCTTAATGCAGCTATTTATGGCATCTTTCTCCCACTTCTCCAGCAAGTTTGAGAATCTCTGGTTTTGTGCTACTTCCTGATAACCTATATTTCATGTTGGTCTCTGACTCTTTACTGCTGCTTCAAAGTCTTGAGCTCTTTCTTTCTCATGCAGAAATCTCTCTGGTTCAAAGGACTTGTGGTGCATTCTCTGCTTCTTTCTTGCTTACAGTAAGAATCCCATTTTTTGCCACTGACCCTGCTCAATTTAAATCTAGTAGGATGACAAGGCTGACTAGTTCCTACATTCTATAAACCTTGTGTGCATGTTAATATCCAAGAGGTATTATTTACTCCATTGACATCATTAGCATAACCCCCCCACCCGGTCATGTGATAAAAGAGAAAACAATGGCTGAGAAAGTAATTTTTAAAAAGAAACTCCTGAGTGAGAAATAACACTCAATAATAGACTTACTTTTCCTGGAGAAATAACACGTAGTATATTTGTAATTATTGAATAATTTTGAGAGATCTGAACATTCCTCTTGGTAACATTAGTAATGTCTCTTCAATGAATTAGTTATGTCCTCCCACAGATAGTTTTATGAGGAAGCCAGAAGTTGTGCTCATATCTTTACTTTAGAGATGACAGATGGAAACTTAACATAAAAGTTGTCCTCAGACGGTAGGCCAAATGTTATCCACAGAGAGTCCATTCTTAGATGGCCTTTTTATTACCGCCTTCTCCAAGTGAAACACTGATAAACTTAAGTTTATAAATTTAAAATATAACAGATCAAGAATACAATGCATACATTTTCTTTCATACTAATTTGGCTTTAATGTAGAAATAAAATTTAATGTTTAAGTGAAAGGAATGCACATAGACATAAGCCCACATAGGCACATGGACACATAACTTTTCAAGAATATTGTTTTTAGATGCCATTGAGTCAACTGTGATTCATAGCAATCCTTTGAACAGCAGAGCTGAACCTTACTTTATCCTGCTTCATCCTTATGATCTTGGATACGCTCAAGCTCTTTATTTTAGTTACCATGTATGTCTTCTTGAGGGTCTTGCTCTCTTTCTCTGACCCTCCCCCCACTCCAGTTTGATACTTTTTTCTAAGAAAAGACCTCTCTTCACAATATGCCCAAAGTATATGAAACAAAGATTCATCATCCTTGCCTCTAAGGAGTACCCTGATTGTATTTTCTCTAAGACACGGGGTATTCAGTACTTCACCACCACAACTAAAAGGCATCAGTTGTTCTTCTGTCATCCTTATTCATTGTCTAAGATGTATAGGAAATGATTGAAAAGATCATGACATGGATCCGACTCACCTTAGTCTTCAAACTAACATCTTTACTGTTTAGCATTTTAAAGCAGTTCTTTTCAGTAGATTTTTCCAGTACAACATGCTTTTTGTTTTCTTCACTTTTACACAGAATCTCTTAAAGTCAAGTTTCTTTTTCTGAACATAACCACTATTTAAAAAATTGAAGCACTCTTTTGTTCATTAAAAATATGTTATGTCATATTTTTTTACAAAAACTTAACGAAAGATGAGATGGCTGTCTTGTTACTCTCCTAGAGAGAAAATAGGCTTCTTGCATCAACAGGGCTATATGTGGCCAGGGTTGCAGGCACTTCAGCACAGAGTCTTTCGCTGCAGGTAACACCACCTTGGTTATTCTTTAGGAATGGGGAAAATGAGGTCCAAAGAGTGTGTCTGTCTCAGAGTTCAACTCGGGGTCTCTCTTCTCCAAAGGGTGGTATGAAGCAGGTTATAGCTTTCCTTTTGCAATCTGTAGCCCAGGGTCACATCCCACAGTACCGGATTAACCCAAGAAGAAGCATTGTGTAGGTTGGCGTAAAACTGCACAGCATTCCCAGGGCATGCTTGTGGACTCCTCTGAGTTTCAGAGCAGTTAGTTGCAGTCTTCAAGGAGATAATGGAACTGCAGAGACAGCTGTACCGAATTGAAGAATACAGGCAGTATCTATGAACAGAAAGATGATTATAATGAGATGGCTGTAGTGAATGCAATGCAGAACACATAGGGCCTTGTGAGAATCCTTGATTCAGTTGCTGTTGACCCAGATTAGTAGAAGCAGGAGACAGTAGAGGGTCAGGGACCTAAGTCCCTGCCATAAGGTAGCAGAGGGATGAGGCTGAAGGACTGATAAGGCAAATGAAGAGCCACTCAGTGCAGCTGCACCACACACAAATCAACAGCTGCTAAACAGCCCTGAGTAAGTGCGGCAGCCATGGTCTCACACAAGAAGGCTGCAGTGAGGAGCACATGCTGTGGCTGGGTGAAGCACTTTTTAGTGTTGTAATGTGACGTCGAGTTGCCTGCGATTCATAGTGACCCTATGTACAACAGCCCTAAACCCTGCTCTATCCTCTGCCAATCTTATTGTCTCTGACACATCTATCCCATTACCCCAGTTAGTGAATCAATCCATTTCATTGAGGGTCTTCCTCTCCTGTGTAATGGCTGTTGTTTTTGTTAGCTGCTGTTGAGTTGGCACTTGTTTTATGGAGACCGTAGGCACAAGAGAACAAAGTGCTGCTACATCCTATATTCCTCTATAATTTGTGATGGATTGGACAATTATGTTCTGTAGGGTTTTCATTGATTAATTTTTGGAAGATATTAACAACTAAATATTTATTAAACATGTACACATCAGCTCATTTGTGCTCTATTCTTACTATTTTCAGTTTAGGCAGTTTATTTTCAATTTAGGCTAGTGGTGAATATGTGTGCCACCAACTCAAAGGCTTGTGGCTTAAATCTAACAAGTTTTGCTCTGTGGGAGAAGGTTAGCAGTTTTCTCTCACATTATTTACTTTCTCTGAAAACTTGATCAAGGGTCAGCTATGAATCTGTTCTAGTCAGGGTTTGACCAGGCTGCTCCTTATAGGCAAGAATCTAAGGCTCCATCTGATATATTTTGTGCATGTTGCATAGAGGGACCAGTCCTTGGAGAGGGACATTATACTTGGGAGGGTGGAGGGACATCGCAGGAGGGGAAGACCCTCTATGAGATAGATTGACTCAGTGACTGCACTAATAGGTGTGTCGGAGACAATGGGGTTAACTTAGAATAGAGCAGGGTTCAGAGTTGTTGTACATAGAGTCACTATGAGTCGCAGGCAATTTGATAGCCCATAACAACAACAACTTCTCACCAGAAAGAACTTGGATTTTATATTTGATGCTAGTTTAAGGGTCAGAGACATCACAAATTTTCAGGTGTAAAATATTACCGTTACAATTTAGAGAGTTAACTCTTTATTTCCTGTATCTGTGCTTATTTTGTTCAAACTTATGTGGTCAAGAATATTAACAATTCTGAATCTGTTTCCCCTATTTCAGACATGGGTCTTAATGAGGTAGTGTGGTAGAAAATAGGTGGTTGTGTAGTTGAATTTTTTCATCCACAAGGGTGAGCTAGTTTGTCCTGCATATCCAGAGAAGACATTACCTAAAATTCTGACTTCTTTTACATGGATACTTTGTAGATTGTTCTTACTCTTTGTTTGTGTGTGAGTGTATGAGAGACATTGAAGGTTGTGTGTGAGAGAAAGAGGTATTATACGTTGTTCTTTATGTGTGTGTGAGAAAGACATTGAAGTTTCTGGAGGAGTGAAAGAGAGAGAGAAAGGTATTTTAGGTGGTTCTTACTCTTTGTGTGTGAGGGTGAGAGACACACATTATAGACTGTTCTTACTCTGTGTGTATGTGTGAGAGAGGCATTGTAGATTGTTCTTAAACTATATATAAACTATGTGTGTATGTATGCTGGATACATTGTAGGTTCTTTGTATGTGTGAGAGAAAGCTAAATAGATTGTTCTTCATTTGTATGTATTTGTGTGTGAGAGACATTATATATTGTTCTTAAACTGTGTTTATACTGGATGCATTATAGGAGGTTCTTACTCTGTGTTTGTGTTTGAGTTATTGTAGATAGTTCTTACTCCATTTCTCTGTGTCTGTGTGTGCGCACGCAAGTGTGCGAGGGGGGTATTTTAGGTGGTTCTTACTCTGTGTGTGTGTATGTGTATAGGAGTGTATGTATGAGAGAGACACATTGAAGATTGTCTGGTGTGTGTGTGTGTGTTAGAGAGAGAGAGATATTGTAGGTTGTTCTTATGTGTGCGTTTATGAGACATTGAAAGTTATCCTGTGTTTTGTTTTATGTGTGAGAGAGGTATTGTAGTTTGTCCTTATACTTTGTGTGTGTGTGTGTGTGTGAGAGAGAGAGAGAAAGTATTGTAGGTTCTGCTGGGTACATTGTAAATTGTTCTAACTCTGTGTGTGCTTTATACAAGGCATGTCCTATCCATTAACTCTCTACATATAACAGGATGAATGATACAGCCAGCTTATTCTTTAACCATTGGGCTACCTGACGTTTCATCAGACATTTGGCATATATCCAGATCAGTGCTGCAGGAGCAATC